TTTGATATTAGTGCCTTCAAGCATAAGGCCAATTCAGACGGAACAACACCCTCCAGAAGATCATGCAAAACGTCTGGCGGATAACCATTGACAACATGAAAATGTTCCAAGCTTTCACTAAGTGGGCAGCTTCGTTTCACGCCATATTGTTGAGCCATGGTAGGATCCTGCAATACATCTTGCACCTGTCTGTCATGATTTTCTTTCGTTCTTGGTTGAAATGAGCCTGTCCGCACTTCTTTGTGTTGTATTTCCTCCCGGCTGGCCATACAGAATCGGCACATCTGACTCACTGAAAAGCTTTCAAAGAACCCTCCTAATGAATGAGCAGCTAAATTGTCTGCTGCAACAAATAATACTGTGCCTTTTATGCTGGCTCCTAACTGTTCAACATATATACCCTGTTGCTCAAGAGAAACAAGGTCCTGAATGAGACAGCGGAGAGTTTCACCATAACCATGGTCTTTGAGACTGCTGACCTTACAAAGTAAAGCAAGCTGAATGGAATGAAGAGAGGAGCGATATTTAGGGTGTAGATTTCCAAGTATCTAGTAGATGGCACATAGCTTGTGTTTCTTTCTGGAGGTTCCCAAGGGGTTAGCCACCTCAAAATCATCTATGTACAAGCAAAGAGCAATTCTGAATTCTTCCTCTGTCAAGAGAGAATTGTCTTTAAACCGGGAACCATCCCTGTGAGATCTGTATCCTTGTGACAAATTTATCTCATGTGACATAGCCTTATCTAAAATTTCTTTATTGTTTAGTAATGTCTGCAGCATTTTTAGTACGGGGATATACACAACTGTCTGTCTGTCATTTTTTAGGACAAACTCAACAGGTGTTACCACTGAGAATTCCTTTGAAATGTATGATTTTCGCTTGCTAGTGGTTGACAATGACCCCCCAGTAGAAGTGAATTTCAGGAATACATTATTCTCAGTAAATACTTTAGCTATCTCACTCACTAAAGACTCCTCAACATCTCCACAGTGTTGATTTAGTATATTTCCAACAGAGGTATGCAACAATGGCTGTGAAAGCACATAAATTTGGTTGATCTGCTCAATAACTTCTTGCAGGGCATTTTCAGAGATGTTAAGAATCGATGACATTTTCAGAAAAAGAGCAGCTACATTGTGTTCCAACTGACTCTCCAAGTCCCCCACATCTTCATTGAGCTCAGTAACCTCAAACTCAACCTCATCAGTTTCAGGGGCACTATCCTCAGGTTGAATACTTATATTAGGTGGAGGTTCCGCAAGTACATTATGTGACACAATTTCAGGTTTG